GATGTTCAAGAGTAAACAAACGACCTCACATGTCTAATACACGCCAGCTGGTGGGTCTAATATACATTCACAAATGTGGTGATGATATTTATAAAATTATTACAATATTGCATAACAGTAAATCTTCTATTTTTTGGTGTGAATAAAAATTCATTATGTGAATAAAAAATAAAAATGGAATTTATTTGTAAAGCCTCAAAACGTAACTAATGAACAGAGGAAATGTTAGTTTAGTGCCAGGAATACCTACATTGTTTATTCTGGACCCTATTTTGAAATTGAAATATTTTGAACTTTGTGTTAAATTGGCCAAATTACCAATTTCCGATCACTTTATTTTGTAGTTGAAACAGTTGACTTGTCGATTTCCTGTGCTCAATCGATAGAATAGAAGTAATACTAGTGAAATAGCTAAAAATTTGGTCAACCGGAATAGTGTAATTGGCCTAAAATGGGAGTCAAAGTCGGCAAAATCGCCGATTCGTAAATATCGCTGACACATCAAAATTTGCAAGAGCATAATTTCGTCAATTTTCCATCAAATTTTGTACTTTTTGTTTTATTACCTTCACAAAAAGATTCTCTACCATTTCATAAGAAATTTTTTTTTTTTTTTTTTTTTTTAAATTCTTGGACACTGGGGCACCACTTCAGATTTTGGCCTTGGACCCTGAAGGGGTTAAACTATATTGATCAAACTTATTGTAAACTTCTTTTATTGACTATTTTTATTCTATACTTTTTTAAACTAGTATTTTCAACTACAACTTTTATATTATCCTGTCTACCATCTTACTAGCATTGCCATTTTTATTTTTATCATTTTTTTTTTATTATTCTTTTGCTACCTTAACTTGTGTATTTTATCTTGTCAATTTAAATCTAGTTATACTCTAATTCTTGTAAACAACTTATATAAAACCTTAGTGCAATTACAATTGAGAGTCTTGTGCCATTTTTATATTATTAGATTGAACTCAGTTGTACTATAGCTCATTGTAGCTCAATACATAGTCAATACCAAATTCATTATATTAGACCATAGTGCAATTACTAGTGAGAGACTGGTGCTATTTTTAATTTGTATTTTTATATTATTAGATTAAACCTAGTTGTACTATAGCTCATTCTAGCTCAAAACATAGACTCCACAAAAGTCATTATATTAGACCTTAGTGCAATTGCAAGTGAGAGGCTTGTTCTATTTTTAATTTGTATTTTTATATTACTAGTTTATACCTAGTTGTACTTTAGTTCATTCCAGCACAACACATAGACAACATCAACTTCATTATGTGTAGTAGTGACTATACTCTATATGACCAAAATACTCTAGCTATATACTTGTCCAAACTTCCCACCACTACAGATATCAGTACTAGAACTCAACACACAACTCAGGATATAAATAACCATAATTTAAACCTAGAAGATGATTGATCACGTTGATCCTGATCTAAACCTCCATAATCTGACACCCAATCAAAACCTATTGGAAAGTAACTGCCTTTATTACACAGCATCACAAGCCAGCACTATCCTAAACAATGCTAAAAGTCTATCAGTACTTAACTACAACATCAGGTCCTTAAGCAAACACTATGATGACCTCCTGGCACTCCTTGAATCACTAAAGACACCCTTCTCCTGCATTATTCTTACTGAGACCTGGCTTAAGCAGGACACAATAGATATCTACCCTCTACCAGGATACACTGCAATTCACAACTGCAGACCAAACCAAGTTGGGGGTGGTATTGCAATCTATTACTCTAACCAATTATCTTGTATTAGCACCACTTGCTTTAGTGATGAATATGGGGAATACATTTTTGCTAATTTTACGGTAAAAAACCTTAAGACACCTATAACAATCGGTGCCATTTACCGGATACCTCACACAAACATCCCAAATTTCAGTGAGAAATTAAAGTCACTAATAACAAACAGACAAATGAATAAGCACCACCTTCTCTTAGCTGGAGACTTCAACATCAACCTTGGCTTACTAGATGATCAGCCTGTAACTGATTTCATTAACAATATGAACAACACACTTCTCATACCAACAATAACTAAACGAACCAGGCTCACTGAGACAAGTGCAACCATAATAGACCATATATGGACCAATTTACTAGCCCCCCCTCAAATCAGGGATAATCACAGATAGCACTACAGACCACTACCCTACCTTCCTCCTGACAAACATTAGTAAACCACCACTTGAATACAACAAAGTCTCATTTAGACTCCATGACGAGGCCTCAATAAGGAAGTTCACAGCTGACCTAGAGACTGTGGAAATATAAACACATATGCAGTATAATGTGATCCTTTATTGACAACGTTTCACCCACACAGTGGGCTTTTTCAAGTCACACACAGATCTGTGTGTGACTTGAAAAAGCCCACTGTGTGGGTGAAACGTTGTCAATAAAGGATCACATTATACTGCATATGTGTTTATATTTCCACTGTGTCGGTATTTGATACCATTTATTTTGACCTAGAGACTGTTGACTGGCCTACAGAATTCTCCAAGGCCAATGGTATTGATGACTGGACAGACATTTTTCTCAACAAATTACTTAGACTATACAACAAACATTGTCCTATAAAAACGAAACAGATCACAAACAAACGGCTTGGTTGCCCATGGCTAACCAGCACCATTCTGAAATCCATTGACAAGAAACACCAATATGAAAAGCAATATAGACAGGGCTTAATACACAAAGATATTCTTAAACACTATTCATCAGTTCTCACCAAAGTAATAAAGAAAGCTAAACAACTATACTACTCCAGTAGATTCACAGACACTAGAGATATAAAAAAGACCTGGAAAACACTCTCTCAGATTCTAGGGACCCACAAACTGAAAAAAAACAAGAATATTGTCCTAACTAAACCTAATGAAACACCACTACATCCCACTGACACAGCTAACAAGATAAACAACTTCTTCTCAACCATAGGATCTAATCTCGCCAATAAAATCCCACGTACCAATGCCCATGCCGGGGACTACCTAGATGGGAATTTCCCAAATTCCTTCTATCTTGCACCAACTGAACCCACGGAAGTCACCGAGATTATAAAGTCACTTAAAAATAACTCAGGGAATCTGTCTCATGTCCCACCATTACTGTACAAGCGAGCGGCCCATGTCCTTTCACATGCTATTTCATTACTCTTTAACAAGTCACTAGAAACTAGCACCTTCCCGAAACTACTCAAGATGGCAAGGGTTACACCAATACATAAAGGTGGTGACCCTACAAACTTAAACAACTATAGGCCAATATCAAACTTACCATTGCTATCCAAAATCTTTGAGAAACTCGTGCACAGGAGACTATATTCATTTATAACGGCACAAAACATACTCAACCCCTGCCAATTTGGATTCAGGAAAAATAAAAGCACTAATGATGCAATCATAAAAATGCTAGATCTGCTTTACACAGCATTGGAAAATAACGAATATCCACTAGGAATTTTTGTTGACCTAAGAAAAGCTTTTGACACAGTAGACCACGACATCCTACTCCACAAACTTGACCATTACGGTATAAGAGGACATGTGCTTGCTTATTTCAAATCTTACCTTACTAATAGGTATCAGTATGTCACCATTAAAGACACAGCATCAACAACACGGCCACTTGATACTGGAGTTCCCCGGGGAAGTGTCCTTGGTCCCCTGCTCTTCCTCATATACATCAATGATCTTCCAAACGTATCCCAACACCTGAAACCCATTCTCTTTGCTGACGACACGACTTATGTCATCTCTCACCCTAATCTTGCCACCCTCAACACCATTGTTAACGAGGAGCTGATCAAAATATCGACTTGGATGACAGCCAATAAACTTATGCTTAACACTGACAAAACCTACTATATTATGTTTGGTAGCAGAGCAGGAGATGCACAAATTAACATTAAGATCGACAACACTAATTACCAGACATAATGAGGGCAAATTCCTAGGCCTATACCTTGACAACAACCTGAATTTCAGCATCCATATCCTACACATAACCAAAAAAGTATCCAAAACGGTTGGGATCCTCTCCAAGATACGATACTACATGCTGCAAAATGCCCTTCTCACACTATACCACTCACTTATTTATCCATACCTCACCTATGCTATTTGTGCTTGGGGATCAACTGCAGCAACACACCTAAAGCCAATAATAACCCAACAAAAAGCTGCAGTAAGAATAATCACTAAATCCCATCCCTGGCAACACACCCCCCCACTCTTCTTAGATCTAAACTTACTCCCTGTTCAGTACATCCACACTTACTACTGTGCAATCTACATCTACAGGACCTTAAACTCCAATATCAACCTTGACCTAAAACGCTTTCTTGACAGTTGTGACAGAACCCACAGGCATAACACCAGACACAAACATCTCTACGACATTCCCCGTGTCAGACTAAACCTTTACAAAAATTCAATGTATGTCAAAGGCCCTAAAATCTGTAACACCCTACCTGAGAACTCTAGAACTGCAGACACATTCATCACCTTCAAACTACCATTAGAAAACATCTTATCTCCCTGATACACCCCATCAACTAACTACACGAATACCACCTGGTGGTTCACACTTACACTCACTCACCCATTTGACCATAAACAGAAATATTAACCTCAATCTTAAAATAATGAATCCTGTGATACTCCAATACTGAAACTATGTACTGTGCCAAAACAAAAGCATTCACATTGCTAAACTCACAAGCTAGTATTTAGTCACTTAGCCATAATACCAACTTACCTCATAATTTGTAATATTTTAAAATTAAGAATTAAATTAAGTCTGCCCAAAATGCCTAGCCATGCTAGGTGTTCTAGTGGTACACTCTGTAATCATAATTTAACTACATGTAAACCACACAATAACCAAATTCTGTAAACTCAGCATTGTAATCCTTATAGAGAATAAACTTCGAATTTGAATTTGAATTCTTCCTACCTTCCCTCGTTCCACCTCTTTAGTCGTCATGACAATTACTCTTGTGTTCTCCTGCCATACCATCCACCAAAAGTCTGCAGATGTGGAAGGTAAGCACCCTTGAGTTGCTATATAGGTCTTGGCCTCTATACCAACATCCTCTTCACTCTAAAAAAAAACCAAGTTTAATGACTACAACAGACCTTTATTTATTCAAAGCACCTGTTAACCAAAGCCTGAAATAAATAGAAAATTCATGGCCTATTAAAATTCCTGCCCTATTAAATGAAAAAATCCATTATCTGAAGTAGGAACTGCATCATGTGCTGTAGCAGCTGCAAACACTTATTGCCACAGAAGCCTTGTATGAGGTGCCCTCACTTAACCTGCAGGTCTTTGTTTACAAGTCATGAGTTATCTAGACAGTGTCTTATATTTTATGCTAACAATACCCTGTAATATGCAGCAACAGGCAATCAGTATCCGAATTACACACCTCTTTTTTTATGCTGGTGATGTGGAATACAGTGGACCCCAGGTTTTCGGCTGGTGCGGAAACCATGCAATTCAGATTTTGAGCACTTTTTTCAGTGAAATTTCCCCCCGGGTTTCATACATCGGCTTGAAAATCGACGGTACCAGACGTATCCACCTGGGCTGCTCGTACATTCGTGACTCACTCTTGGGCACATTAAATGTCTTATTTTAAGTTACAGACATTTTCATTAATCCATCTATGATATTTTCTTCAAAATTATACTATAAGAAACACGTTACATAGTATATAAACATACAAGATTAATATGCTATCGAGGGGTGGGGGTCAGGTGGAGGGTAAACATTACGTTTTCTCTGATCCAGCTTCAGAGAATACATGTATGAATGTGCGTTGGCCAAGTAACCAACCGCCCTTAATAATACATAAGGTTTTTCTTTACAATTCTCGGCATAAATTATTCATTACTTCTCCCTTTGTTTATGATGGCATCTAAAGATAGTTGTTAGAAATAATTAAACTCAGTGAACATGGCATGTTGATGTTAATAATATGGCTCTAGGCCACAGTGTATGTAGCTATATGCCTGGGATGTAGTCCCTCTGGGACTACAAATAAACACTACTCACCAACAAGAGTCTTCAATAAAGGTATGTAATGTTCATCATTAAAATTAGTCATTTATATTTATTTCTTATTGTTTTCTGTATGTAAAACTATAGTTATTCTCTATAAAATGCATTTTTAATATTTTTGGGTGTCTGAAACTGATTAATTGGATTTACATTATTTCGTATGGGGAATATTACTTCGGTTTTCAGCCATTTCGGATTTAGGCCAACCTTCTGCAACGGATTAATTACGAAAACCGGGGGTCTACTGTATAACAAATATATATTGATAAAACAGCATAAAGTGATGTATGTATTAGTGTCAATATTAGTATATCTTACCTAAGAAGATGCATATTTTTTAACATGCTGGCCATCTCCCACCGAGGCAGGGTAACGTACAGTGGAACCTCAGTTTTCGTTTGCCCTGGTTTTCGTCGAATTCAGTTTTCAAAGACTTTTTCATCAAAATTTTATCCCAGCTTTCGTTCACCTCGGTTTTCATCAAGTTGACAGTGGTCTGCTGTTCTTAATGTGTCCACCCGTGCCCACACAAAGCATCCCACACGTTCTGAGTCAGTCTGGTTTTGTTTCTCGTTGGTAGAGGGTGGTAGTGATTATGGTAGAGGGTGATAGTGATGGTGGGAGAGGGTGGTAGTGATGGTGGTAGTAGTTGTGATGGTGGTAGAGGGTGGTAGTAGTTGTGATGGTGGTAGAGGGTGGTAGTAGTTGTGATGGTGGTAGAGGATGGTAGTAGTTGTGATGGTGGTAGAGGGTGGTAGTAGTTGTGATGATGGTAGAGGGTGGTAGTGATGGTGGTAGAGATAACCTCTCCTCCCTCTCCCCTCCTCGCCGTCTTCCATACACCAACAAGTCTTCAATAAAGGTAAAAGTGATGTTAAATGCTCATTTATCCATTTCATTAGTCCTTTATATTTATTTCTAATTGTTTTCTGTATGTAAAACTATAGTTATTCTCTATAAAATGTATTTTTTATTAATACTTTTGGGTGTCTGGAACCGATTAATTGGACTTGCATTATTTCTTATGGGAAACATTGCTTCAATTTTCGTCGAATTTAGTTTTCGTCAGACTTTCTGGAACGAATTAATGATGAAAACTGAGGTTCCACTGTGTATTATGCATAAAAGTTGGAAAATTCAAGTGATTCAGTAAAGACAAAGAGCAAATGAATATCTATTCATCAGAAAACGAAGTCTAGAAAACTTATTCATAGATTACTGTGAAACAATAGGAATCCTACCACCTTGACCTCAAATCAAGGTGGAAACAGTGTAAAACAGGCACAAAAGCCAAGAATTACAGTATTGAGAAAGAAAACTCAACCTGTAAGCTCACAGCTTTGAAACCAAAGTACTCATGAATATGTCTGGCCCGGATGCAAATGCAAATGATATCTTATTTAAGACTCGGAGCAAAGCTTTATATTCATCACTAGGGTTTGGAAAAAAAAAAAAATTAATCAAAGATCCTTATCAATGCCAGAATCCCCTTAGACTACAGACTCTTTCGAAAGGCCAAGCACACATCTCTAGAATGAAACATTTCTGTGGTAATCCACCAATGTTAGACTACAGAATCATATGTATTAGATCAAGTGAAAACTCCCACCTAATTGCAATGGCATGGTACTCCCTCTTATTCATACTTGAAGGGTTAAACACCTCTACAGTGAATACCAATGATCTAAAATCACCTAATTTGAAATCCCACCTCAAGAATGAAAATTGGTAGTACACAATGTTACAAAATCTTTGCTATCAACCAAGCCAAAACCACAACATTCCAAATATAGCCCATGGATCAAGACATAACCGAGTGCTAAATGCAACTATTGCAATCAAATAACTGCTAATTTTCTGAAGCTTCATAAAAACTCCCAATTATCAAAATTTTCAAAAATATTTTATCATAAAAAATATACTCTTATTTACATTGAACAATCATGGAATGAAGTTTGTTTATTACTATGGTTCTAATCAGTGCACAATAAAATACACCCTAATAGAAAGAGCAGTAGAGCTAATGTTTAACCCTTAAACTGTCCAAATGTAGATCTATGTTAGTACCACTAGTGCTCCAAACGTAGATCTACGTTTTATTTTTCCTGCCTTCAAATTTAGCATGATTGGCCTTAGATGCCTGGTCAGTAGAGAATGGGTCTTAACACTTGGTGTGTGCAGTATTATAAAAACCTGAGACCACTTAGTACCTTGTGGGAGCACCAGTTCAACTGAGCACCAGCCAGAGCAAATAGCATGGCAAACACCAGGGATTCACTGATGCCATGTCATATTAATACACCCCTTTTAAGAGGAAAGTGATGTTGACCCAGAGTTTAGTGGCTTTGACATGGATGTGGCCACAAGTGGTCGAGGAAATATAAAAAACATTGATAATAACCCATGTACAACAATTGTGCAACATCCTTTCATTTCTGATACCAATAAGTGTCATCCTGCCAGAATGTCCTATAACCTATGCCCTAAGAAAAGAGAAACAATTCGGGAACATGTGTAATACGTGTTTGGCAGGCTGAGTGGCTGACTGGCCGGGTGGCTGATTGACTTCGGTTGTGTCTATCTCCGTCTGTCTGTCTGTATCAATCTCTGCCTGTCTCTGTATCTGTCTATGGCTATCTGTCTGTCTCTCTCTCTACCTCACAGGTATACATAGTTATACATAGTGTAAATTACCTAGGATAACCCAAAAAATCCAGACAAAGTGCTATATTGTGGTTGTAGATATAAGGCAAAAATAGCATGACTGGCAAGTAATACACATTTCACTTGTTCAGGAATCAGATGTGACTCTGCATTGTGTGTAATACCTGTTAGTTGATGAGTGGCTCTCTGAGACAGAAAGCGAGAGAAACAGACAGAGACAGGAAGACAGACACACAGGCAGAGAGAAAGATAAGCAGAGACAGATTAGAGACAGAGCTAGACACAGACAAATAGATAAACAGATAGACAAATAGATAGACAGACAGATGCACAGACACACATTTATATGTAACAGTGAAAACAAACAAAGCCAAGGCAGTGCACTATCATCAAGTGTCACTCACTGCTGCACTGTCAGCAATCGAGTGACACTCGTCTTATACAGTGCTGCTTCAAGGAGTTTCATATATATACTCCAGCATGTCTAAAACATGTATACTATGTATATATTTCTAGACAATAGTAGGTTACCAAGGCAGGTGAAAATGTTCACCTGTCAGTGTGTTTGTGACTATCTGAGTATTATTTGAGTACCTAATATTAGTGTCAGAACAAACATTGGTTATAAAATCACAAGAACTACTACAATTTGTAATTATCAGAACAAAAATTGATATAAATAAGAAAAAACAAGAAAAAAGGTATATTGTCAACACTTCTGCAATTGGCAGGACTCCATGTTGCCATCAGGTGAGCATCCAATGCCAACTTCGCAGTCTTATGTCTCAGTAAGTACTGAGCCTAATTTTTTTTTTTTGGTCTTATTACACAGAAAATTGCCTTCCTTAATTTAAAAAGAAAAAATGAATTTTCTTTTTCAAAATATTCGAAACGCTGGCAGTGAAAACGCAGATCTACGTTTGGACAGTTTAAGGGCTAAGTGCTGCAGATTTTGAAGGATTCAGTGACAACTGTGGGAATAAAAAAATACAAAAATGTACCCAGCATCTTGGAGGCCAAAACCTACATTGCTCAATGGCCTCAATCTAAGTCTAGAGAAGTGTTTCAATACAAGACAGCAATCTAAGTTTAGCACCAGTAAGTTAATTCACCTGTTTACCATCAAACCACCCAGTAATATTTTTACTTGCCTCCAATGATCCTGAAGAAACGTTTTATGTTCAATAAACAGCATTACCATGCTATGGTCGCGGGTGTTTTTCATCAATTGAAACTCAGCTCTGTTATCAGTAGGGGTTTGTGGTATTTGCAAAATGGGTAAAAGTATGAACAATGAAATGGTACACTACTTCATAATTTTAAACCATTCCTGTTGTGATGTTTGTGATATTAAAAAAATTGCAGTACAAATG